GTGCAGTTTAGGCACTAAAACGAAAACGGGTACAAAAGTCACACTTTAAAAATCAGAGGTCAAAGAAGATAATAATTGGAAGCTTGAAGTCCGGTACTAACTGCAATAATCATTTATTGTCTTTTCTCACCGTAGATATTTTAGAACAGAAACATCCTGTTTCAGCAAGTTTTTAGAATCAAACTATGCTGGTGGGGGACTAAAATTCTTTATAGAAAAGCAATACACTTTATAGTGTTTTTCTGATCACCCCCAACTATTCCAGAGATGATGAGCTTTACATTTAATAGTGTACAACTTCATAATCATGTACAAAGTAAACAGTGATGCTTAAAGCATTTGAAGCCTTCAGATCTTTCTCAGATCTGGCATGAGATGAAGGTGTAACCGACCGTAAGCGCTTCAGTTCTGGACAATAATCAGTTAGGGCTCTGGCTGCAGGTTCTGGGTGAGAAAGAGTATGCTGAGACCACAGTATCATGTTCAGTGAGAGCGGCTCCAGAAATGTCATCCCACCCCCAACCTCCATCTGTACTACTGCCTTAGTTTAGTCAGACAAGTGGCAAAAATAAGCCAGTTAAATGTGACTTATAACCCAACTCTTACTGCATAAACATATTTAAACTAGGCAGAAGAACTTTTGACACACAATTTCTAACTTCCTAACACACAATTTACAAGTTAATCTTCAGTTTCCATCTAAGGTCTTTTAATCTTTTATTACACCTAAAAAGTCAGAGGGACAAAGGATATCAGATTTCATGCATATTCAAACTTCAAGTGAAGAACATCCCCACATCAAACAAAATAGCCACCCACATTCCACATACCATGGATGGCTTACTTTTAAAAACATTACAACATGAGCCATAACCCCATGTCACCCCATCCCCCTTTGCCAAAATGTTCACAATTTAGGAGTTCTCAATGAAAAAATAATCAGAATTTCCTCTCTGGGAAATCAGAAAAGGTGCCTTGTCCAGGCACAAGGCTCTAGTGGTGGGAGCTGTGCCCCAGGTGGGCAGGTGAAGGGACGTGGTCTTTTAGGTGACAGGTGAGAGCACACAACACAGAGGCCCATTCTTGCCTCCTTTTTATTTTTCTTCTGTCGATCACATGACTCCTGAAACAGAAGGTAAGTCTTCTTCCTAAGGGGTGACGGCAATGGTCTGACTTACCTGCCCCACTTCCATCCAACCGTTCTGTGCTGCTCGAGGCTGGGCTGGAAGAATCCTGGGAGATGGAGTCATTCCCAAATTTCTAAAAAATTCAAGCACCCCCCCCCCCAAAGTGCACATGTATTTAATATGTAAGGAAAAAACCAAAGCAATAATAAATGATAACAAATAATGGCTCCTTAACGCTGCCATGGTCATAGTGACTGAACTGACCTATCTGACTCCCTGGGGCCCTCCTGCTCAGACAAAGCCGTGAGAGACACATTCTGTTCTGTGCTTACTGCCAGGGCTTTGAGGTCCAAGTGTTTGGGGTCCAGTTGCTCAGAAGGCTCCACACAGATGAGAGGTGGGGGACGACTCCTCTTTTCCTTGTTGAACACCTATTCAGGCCCTGCAGCCGATGCCCCATGTACTGGGGACACTTACACTCTAGAAATTTACAGCACCCTCTCCAGGTTTAGATTCCAAAAATCTAGTTTAAAAGCAGTGGAAAACTTTCCAACTTCAATGTATAGTATAGTAAATGGGGGCCTGAAAAACACAAGGTCTTCTCTGTCACTGAGACAAAACCACAGGGCACAGATCTATTGTTTAGGAGGTAAATACAGATGAACATGGCCTGAATTAATTCTTTAAAAATTCTGCAGGTAGGAGGAGTTTGTGATGGCAAAAACAGGGAAGGTCATTGAAGCCACTGTCTCAGGGTAGGAGCTGATTTCTAAAGCCAGGAATCAGCCTCTCCTCTTACAGTGCAGAAAGTCCACATCAGAGTGAGGCATTTTGATACAAAAAGAGATGAATGGAAAAATCCAGTGTTTGCTTAATAATACCTAAGCATCCTGTTGACAGTGATGATCAACATCTACCTCTTGTCTAAAAAAATTAAAAATGAGGTGGGCAGGAGGCATGATGATTCCTAAAGCAGTCTGACCTGCAGTCTGTTCATTCCTGCTCATCTCATGTGTCTGACAAACCTAAAAAGCAAGTATCTGCTGCCAATTCCTGACATTAACTGTTGTTGATGATGTAGGAGGGATTATTTGAAACACAGGTGAGACCTGACTCTCTCACTGCAGTTGTCACTTGCCCCAGCCACACTATCCCCAGGAGTGCCGCCTCTGTCAGAGGAAGCAGCAAGGTGGTAGAAGGCTGAGAAATTTCTCAGCAGGACTACAGAAGTTCCATGTTCACTAGTGGAGCAGTTCTCTGAGAAGAAATGTGCACCTGAGCACCACAGCTAAAACGGGCACTTTATTTGGCATCACAATGGCAAAGTGATCCCATGGAAAGGAAGCCTCATGGCAGGCCTCTGCCTAGAACAAGTGCTGGCAAGGCAGGCCTTGCATCAGCCAAAGTCCCAGCCAGGACCTCTCCCTCTTTGACTCCTCCGAGTGCAGGGCTGGCACCTGAGACTGAGGACCTCCTTTAATTTTGTATCCTGGGCACTGCACTTGCCTGAATCTCAAAAACAATCCTGGAAATTGTTTTCTTCTTTTACCACCCAGGTTTTCTGAGGTAATTATAAATCCCAAAAATAACTGTGCAGAATAGGGATAAAAGAATGCCAAAATGTCTTTGAGAGCAGGCAGCTGACTTGGTAGCCCCAAAACAAAAGACATAACTCTAAACATTCATTACCTGTTACTCTCCTTTTTAAATAAATGATAAATGACATAACTGCATGTTTACAGTTCTTTTTCTTTAAAAATATGTATTAAACATCAATAATGTAAAGAGAATGACTCAGAGGAAGGAGAAGACAACATACTGACCACTGATGCTTATGTTACTACTTTTATAAAGAATACAGTCACGGCGTTTTAGGGGAAAATATTCTAAAGCTAATTTTTGAAAAACTTTCTTTTATTATTTTATTATTCTGATACACATGGCATGACTGTTCTGAATTTTAAATACTAAAGATTTTTAATGATCATTTTCGTTTTAAATTGACACTAGATGGCGCTAGGAGATTAGTATAAGCCTTGAATAAATACAACTATGAAACCACAAGGATTTTGTCACTTTGAGTCAATTTATATAATCAAATCCAAAGTAAACGACAAAAAAAACTCTATCACTTCTCATCTTTCCACCAAAAAGCAGCTGGTTCATCACTAGAAACAGTGACGAAATAAACAGCACATTAGTGAAAACAGCACATTATTTGTTGTAATGAAATTCCTAAAATGGATTAAAATTTAAAAATTTTCTTGGGCACCTGACTCACCAATGACTCACCATCAATTTTTCCAAATTCTAACCAGTGAAGACCATATCATGTGTCCCTTGCTGAATTAGCAGAATAGTTATATGGTCCCTCTCCCAACTCTTCTCTAAGGGTTCATAAGGGAGTTAGGAGTTATCTTTTAAGTAGGGAATTGCTAGATAAATGTTGGTGTTGGTGGAAGAACGAGGGTAAACAGTTGTAAAATCATGTGGGATGCAGGACTTAATAAAAAAAAAAAAAAACCATTTGTTTAGTAGTAATATAAAAGAGGCCTATATTCCTGGTATGTAGCTTACCATTTAATTTCTGAAAATCAAGGGTTCACTGGGGCAAACTCTTTTATTCTAATACTTCAAATAAAGTAGATGTGCAATTTTCCTTTCTTTTGAGAACCCAGTTTTTGTAAAAGTAAAAGAACTCCAGGTAATATGCAGAAACCAAACCCTGAGTTAAACATGGGTGTATTTATCTTAGTGATCATAATAATGATACAATCCTTCAAGTAGCTGTAGGAGAAAACAGAGGTAAAAGGAAAGAAACAAAAGACACCTATAATTTAAAAGGAGGTTCAAAGAATAATACTTTAAGTCAAATTTGGGGGAGACTCAGTAATTTTTAAACTATGAAGTTTTTCTTTGTAGCAACAGACAATACAGATACTTCTCGACTTACAATGGGGTTGTGTCCTGATAAACCCATCATAAATCGAAAATATCAAAAGTACGCTTACACAGTTTGAGTTTATATGGATGTTACGATAATGTCAGTTGAGGAGTGTACTGAACGTGTATAGGTTTCGTACTATCGTAGGTCAAAAAGTCGAACCATCATTAAGTTGGGGCCATCTGTATATATCAAATTCAATTAATTCTAACAGAATACCTTATTTTTTATTTTTTTATTTTATATCTGGAAGATAGCAAGGAATTTTTAGGTTTGGAAAGGGATAAAAACTGGAAAACAGATTCTATCTTCATGTAATTATAATCTGTTTTCAGTATTATTATTTGCCTCTCAGTTCTATCTCCAATTACCTTCAGTTCTCCATTTGGATTCAGCTGACTCAATCTTTTCCCCAAATGTGGGTGTTTCCCAGGAACAGCTGTTGCATGCTTCCCCACACAGGAAGCACCTGGGCAGGTGGGAAAAGATCCACATCTTCAAAGCCAATGGCCTACCTTCAAATGCTGCGGCACCCCACGAGTGTGACCCTGGGGCCAGACAAAAATGTGGCCATGCCTTCCTGGTCTGTGCTCCGGGTTCTTTAGCAATAAGTCTTTTATTTTTGGATTTGTGTTTAACCAGCAGGCTGTTTCTCTGTACCTCTCTTGCCCACAAAAACCAAGTGTGGGGCCGACCCCGTGGCTCACTCAGGTGAGTGCCGCGCTGGGAGCGCTGAGGCCGCAGGTTCGGATCCTATATAGGGACAGCCAGTGCGCTCACTGGCTGAGTGTGGTGTGGGCGACACCAAGCCAAGGGTTACGATCCCC